TTTAATATTTTGGATTTTATCTTCGAATTACCACAGAGCTGAGTGAGGATGGCCCTCTCTTACAGTATACACTGTTGTCTGAAAAAAAAGCAGATCTAAAAATGGGATGGAGGCCAAACAATCATGCATGAGTGATAGAAGCAAACTGTTATGAGAGTTATAGGAACTCGGGTGGATTTTATAGCAGTCAAAAAAAATTGGCTTAAGGTTTAACTAATCAGAATAATCATCAACAATCATATCTCATATAATAAATGACCTGTGATATTGCTTAATATATTGGATAGGAGATTAATCAAGCTATTCCTTCAGACCTGTGAGTGATGAACCAATATTCAATCACAGCCATTTGCAATCCAAAAAAACCCCCTCTCTTTTACTCAATGCAGACTTTTGTGAAATAATGTTTTTTGTTTTAAAAGTCTCAGATGGGTATTTATTTCACAATTAATTAAAAAAAAATATATATTATTTTCAGGCAATTCTTCTACAAAAAATACTGTAATTTGAATCTGAAATTTGGTTTTCACAACATTTTCACAATCGTCCTTGCAGAGTTCTTGACCTCTGTCACGTCTATTACCTCCTGAACTTGAGAAGGACCGAGTTGTTCCTCCGTGTTAGCTCGTGTGTGTGCTCGTGTGTGTGCTCGTGTGCGTTTCTCTGTTGTTCTTCTAATGAGGGAGGGGTGCATAAACATCCATCTTTGAGTCATATACAATGGGAGATAAAACAATGTTGCAACTCAGACTATGATGCACCCTCTGGGAACCCTCGCACACCCAATACACACACAGAAAAACAACATGTACACAAAGCATGTTTTGAAGTAGGCCCAGTTCTGATCACTAATGCATATGTATGTGTGTCTGCTCCTCACTGCGGCGCTTGAATAAAACAGAAAAACGTGTTACCATATGATCCTGCTTCTGGAAAGGACATCAGTGACTGTCTCCTGTGCCATCCAGTTATTTGTCAGGGAATAAATCAAGCTCACTTCATGAAAGCGGCTTAAAAGTAAATTGACCAATTGCAAAAAATAGCAGTGGCTCACCAAATGTTAACGACCCTCATTATGTTTACAATGTCATTCAACCTAATGGGTCCAATGGGTGCAACTTATTCCTGTAAGAAAGTAGTGCAAGTGCCATTTGGGCTTAATACACTTCACAATATTATTACTGTATGATTGTCGCTCCTGAAATTCATGTTAAACTACAGTAAGTAAGCATTTATTTATATAGCGCATTTTTACAGACCAAGGTCACCCAAAGCGATTTACAATGTTCAGAGTTCAGATATTGTTCCATTCTCTCCGCAACATCCATTCACTCACTCAGCACATTCATACCTCCATATTATACATGTTTTTTGTGGTTGGGGAAACCTGAGCACCCGGAGGAAACCTACGCAGACACGGGAAGAATATGCAAACTCCACTTTTGATTGGGATTCGAACCCAAGACCTTCTTTGCTGGGAAGCGAGAGAGTTCTATCCACTATAGAACGCATTATTGTGTTTTTTGTTCACAATATTCAGTTATATTGATCAAAATGCATTGATAAATAAATGGGTTGATTGGCGTTTGGTGTAAAACATGTTTAGAGCTGATAGGCCCTACATGTCCAGCAGCAGATTATTATTGATGCATTTTTTAGTCAACTTGTATAAGCTGAAGTTGGAATTGTTTGAATAATTACCAGTAGGTTAAGGGAAATGAGCGGTAGTACGTAGTCAGTGAAAAAGATTTTGTTAACACTGAAGCCTTGATTGCAAAACAAGAAAGAACGATTGATGATCATTATGCCCCCAAAACATTGGTATAAAAAAGTGGTGTCTTAAAGAGGTTTGAATGAATTCTGTTTTTATAATTTGTATTATTTAATTAATAAGACTTGTATTTTAAGAGATCAGATAACAAAAAACTTCTAGCGCCCTTGTTTCAAATAAAGAGCTACCAATCCAAATCCAGTCCCAACCTTTATGAAATTATGTGCTCCTGATTGGTTGGAATGAAAACCTGCAGCCACACTGGGCCTATGTCTTGGCTGTGAGCGTGTGCGTACATGTGTGTGTGTGTCCTCCTCCAACTCCTTTCCAAACCAAGGTGGAAATCTGTCTCTTGATACTTGAAAATGTGTTGAAATAAAGAAGGTCACTAACTTTTTTGTCCCAATTATGGCTTCAATTCAATGCTGATGATATATACATTGTCAAAAAAGCATCATTAAAACAGACCAAATCCCCAATGCAAAAATTGAAATCATGATTTACATACAACATATTTGGCCAAAAGGTCATAGTCTCTGAAATATGTTCCTCAGAAAAAAATAAATTGAAAACCCCTGAGCTAAATTGTGTCCGCAGCTGTCCAACGGTTTCCCGAGCAAAACCCTACTGACAATATGAGATGTTGTGAGGACGAGAGCTTCTCCAGTGAGCGAGCAAAGGCAGTAGACAAAGCTGTGTGGCCTTCCAATCCCACAGAAGAGCCCCTGATATAACATGGACATGAGTGGGAGGCAGTGGGCGGGTGTGAGGGGGACAGGGGAACCCATCCAAACTCATTTAGCCAAATCGCAACTTATTTTCTAAAGTCAGCATTTCAAATCGGCGCGTGTCCCCTCTCATTTAATGCATCATTTTGTGACGTGATAAATTTATGAATTAGACATACACCCTTTTTTGCTTTTAAGATAGTGGCCCTCTTAAGTGTGGCAGTATAGTGTGGAGGATTTAAGAGCGTTTCTCCGTGTCAAACATTAAAACCCACAGGGAGAGCATCAGCACAATTAGGCTTGGGTGAGGAGGAAGAGAAAAAGGGGTGATCTTAAGAGCAGCGGCGTTCTCCGTCTGTACAGTAACGCGGTTATCTGTCTCAAGTGATCCGTTTAAACGCTTTGGTTGGCGGGGATAAAAGCAGAGCGCAGGAAATAAACTTAGTTCTGCCTCCAATCTGCAAATCCTTGGTGGTCATGGAAGATGATCCCAATTTGCTTCTTAGCAGCGCTGTCAGATCTCACAATAATAAATAATTTAAGACTTTAAGCACCAATTATGCTCCATGAATGTGGAAAGGCTTCAGACCACTGCCTGCTGTTGTCGACACTGTAAAAATACACCCATCAGTACTGGTGTCACACTCAATTACTGCAGCAGAAGACTGAGAGGAGAATTAGGGCTTCAATTAAGTGCATTCCAAGGACATGTACTTTAACATTATCAATGAAAACGATTGAACTCAAGAGCTTTCATTTAATTGGATTAAAAATGTGTCTTTCACCATTTTGAAAGCATATACATGTGTTTCAACTGGATTCTAAATGTATAAACTCATGACGCTTCTGTGAGGTTTGTTAGGGCAATCCTTTTCTCCCGAATTAACCTTGAGTCGTAACCTCAAAGTATTTGCATGTTTCAAAATGATTAAGAATTTCTAGACCATTTGGACAAAATGTATCAAGAATAAAACAGGAGCTTGGGTTCCTGGATAAAACAAGAGTGCATCTCCACTCTCAGCCCAGAATGAGAGCGGCTGCTTATGTTGACAGAGAAGAGTCATCTGCCGTCCTGCTGCTGCTGCTGCTGCTGCTATTGCTGCTGCTGCTGAATGGGAGCATTGAGGGCGCAGACCCCGGACAGGCAGGAGCCGCTGGTCACCACAGTTTGAACATGCTGTTTGCTCCGCGCCTGTATGCCTATCATAATGTTTGCTTAATGGAAGGTATTAAAAGAGAAGCAAACATCATGATATGTGGAACATCGCTAAGTGTGCATTTGGCTTGTGTGCTGTGTTACATGAGGTGAAGAATAGAAGGCAGCCATTCAATGTATAGAACGCCGATTAATATATAAAATAAAAAAATAAAAACAATGTGGGAATTCAAATACATATTAGGATGCATTCCTGTTGCAAGTGCCAATACAACTCTATGAGAAAGAAGCTATCCTTGTTTTTTCAGAGCTATTTTCAATTGGCCTTTCATATGTTCTTTTGAATATTGTCACAACCTTGTTATAAAATAATGAGACCACAGTGGGTTATTAATTACAAAGAATAGTGGAACCTCCTGATGGTTTTGTTTTATGTGGAGTTTGAGTTATCAGGAAAGACTCATCTGCCCTTCACCACAAATGTAAACTATGGAATCTTTGGACACAATGGACACAATTAAATGAACACAATGAATTCATCCAATATCTGTATATGTTTTTATTAATGAAGATATGATATTTTGCAGATTTCAGCAACCAACGTGTAAAAGGCATGAAATCATACCAGCATGCTCACTGTCCAGTGAACATACAATCCCCAGTTGTCTTTTCATGTTCTGAATGAGAGTAATTCCAAGTCTTTGTGTAAAAGTATACCCTATTGTTTGAGAATTAATTTTAAATGTCTGTAATTAGACCTCTATACAATGAAGGCTTTTGAGAGAAGGCCTGGAAATAGCACTCAAGTATTACGGACTGTGCTTCACTGTGCACTCCCACAGACAGACAGTAAATTGCTCACAAAACACAGAATGGCAGACACCAATGGTTTTACTGCATGTAGACTGATGGAGCCTCTTGGCATTGCATACTTCCTGCTGTGTCCTCTGATGAATGGTCCATAAATGTGGATATGGGTATTTAAACCCTTTCATTGTGTTGCTATTGATAAGAGAAAAGCATATCAATTTCAGGCAAGTATATTCAAGATTGTACTGTGATGAATAGATGTGTCTTGAAACGTCTTTGAGCTTATACACCATTTTATAAACGATCCACCTGGCGCTGTGCCTAACTACTCGGAAAATAGGGAGAATAATATCATTATATCATATACAATTGAGGGAATCCCCAGTGGTGTGGTGTCTGCATAAGCAGCTGTCTGAAGAGACAGTAGGCGGGCACCACGCGACAGCACAGAGTATGTGTGGTGTATTCACTTGAGTGTTGTCAATGACTTTGGCTTTATAGCAGGCTCCCGGGCAGTGCTTTACCTGGGACCTAATCAGTCAGTGAGGCTCAGAACCTCTGGGGACGTCCCAGCTGGAGGGGTCTGTGTGCCTGTGTGAGAAAATGAGAGACAGAATGAATGTGAGTGTGAGGGGCGCAGACGCTTGTGCGGAACAGAACGGCCTTCTGGGAAAAGGCTGAACCCACCTCCTCTGTTCAGTGCCCACGGCTCACTACGACTGGCCACAGTCAAGGTGATCTTCCACACCCGTTTGCACACTTTCTGAAAAAGGATTTTACCATAACGCAAGTGATTCAGAAATAAAGACAAGAGTGGCATTATGAAAAATGTTTTTAATATAATTTATATTGAGCTTGATTTCTGAAAATGCACCTTTCTTTAATATTGAAGATGATGCTTGCTTTTGCATAAAATAGCATTTATTTGCCAACTGTAATAACATTTGACAATATGCTATTGTTGAGACGGCAGATCTCATGTGGGGAATTGCCCATTGTCCAAACTCATTTGGACAGTATTCACCAGCAGCCCATGTATTGTTTGGAGTTGTAAGCAGAGCCTCCTGCCTGGCCATAGTCTTACTCACACAGAAGACATTGGATGACAGCCACAGTGAGCTAGAGGAGCCCTGGGCTACAGTCTCGAGGGTGAGCTCGGGGTAAAGAAAAGAAACCACTCACCAGCCAACTGCCAGTCCGCAGCCTCTAAATGGCCACCATCCACCTGGAGAATCACTTTACACGGAGAAAACAGGCTTGAGGTGGAGAAAGCCTGGGAGAAGAAAGACAGAGAGGTGGAGAAGGAACATAGCAGGTTGCCATGACAAGGAAGCAGTGGAATAAAACACAAACAGAGGCGGGTGGCACCATGGCTGTCAGGAGTGAGAGCGGTGACAGTTTCCTTGGCAGGCCTGCATGGCTCCCTCTGTTGCAAAGTCTGGTGGACACAAATTCTATCTCAGCTTTGTCTGCATACAAAATACAATCAATGCATTCTCCAAGGAGAATTTTATTCATCAAATTCATAGTCATATTGACAATTTAAAATCAAAGGTGAAGGCTCTTGCATACAAGGCAGAGACACCATAATGTATTAAACCAAGTTTAAAAAAACAACATTAGATGCATTTTCCTTACTTAGTGACTAGGAACTACAAATACACATTGATATGAGGTGAGTGGAGCGTCACCACTTTCCAAGCTTGTGCTGATGTTTCGGCGGTAGAATTCCGCCTTCATCAGAGGTGACACATCAGGTAATTAAGCAGTACTAGGTTCTTTACACTTTTGTCTTATTCAAATAACCTAGTGTTCTAAAGTTGACAATATTGTGAATAAGTGAATTAGCAGATTGGGGGATGGGATATTCTTGTCTTTCATGAATTGTATTATTTGTCATCCTGCAGCGCTTGTTTGCATGTGTAATTTCTGTATGTAAATTGAATTTCCTTTGTAGATCACATATTTCCATCAAATCTGTCCACACAGCATACACAGATGGGCCACAGGGATAATGCTGGAAAGACAGTAAGTACCGACATACTGTGCCGTCCTGGCAATGAAGAGCTGGCTGCAGCATTTGTATTAGGGGAAAACAAAGATGATATAAGATTTATTGAACCAACACGGCCAAGCAAATGAACAACAAATGAACAGGACTCAGTGAAGGATAAAATAACACAGCAGAGAGGAGGCGTCCACAAACAGCAGTAAAAGCATTCCTGTATCGATCCAGTGCTGTGAGCCTGCCAGCTACTGCTACCTTCCCCTTTCCAGGAAGACCATATACACAATACAGGAGACACCTTAAGGGTTCTGCTGCTGTGGCTGTGTACATGTGCACTGTAATAGCCTGTGTTTTATACTGTATATGAGACCAAAGGGATGGCATAGGGGCATTTACCAGATTAAATCCAGAAATATACAACTGAAGTGTGGAGATTGATCAAGCTACCCAAGAAAAGTTTTTGTCACGTGGAGGAGGCGAGTTTATTTGTATAGCACAATTTATGCACAAAGCAACTCAAAGTGCTGATCAAAACAAGATAGAAAGAACGACACGAGGCATCAAAATCATAAATAATCTCAGTACAATAAAGATAAAATCCCTCAGTTGTGTGCACAGCTATGCAGAGCTGTTTTTAACCTGGATTTAAACATTGTCAGAGAAGAGGCCTGTCTCACATTGTTAGGAAGATTGTTCCAGATTTTAGCTTTTGGCTTCAGTAGAGGAATACATCTATATCTTTTAACCTGTTAGCGCGTTGCCTCTGTCTTTAGATACTTCCGATTTTATTTGAAAATTGACTTGAAAAGTACCAATAATGTAGTTGTATTTATTTCATTTTTAGAGCATTTCTTTAACAGCTTTTATTAAATGTGTAGAGTTGTTAGTGCAGCAAACATTATCACCTAATGCTCATTCACATATTCAATTCCTGAAGCTTTTATCAAGTTTATCAAGCAATGCAAGTAAAGCATTAGCATTTCCATGAAGATATTTTTAACCCCCCCCACCAGTAAGAATGGTAAAGATATAAAATTGCAGTCTACAGGCATATTCCCCATTCACATTTGAAGACACCCACACAACCAAACAGTAATATATACAAACACTATGTGGGGATGGGGTGTCTTGCCCAAGGACACATTAAACACTATAGACACATTGCAATACAAATACATCTCATCTAAAATTATTGCTTGGATCCGCCAGTAATATTTTGCTCTTTGGAGTTCGAAAAACATGCACAAAAACTATATTCTTCCAACTCGGCAAAGGTTTAAATCCCTGTGTCATTTAAGAGCATGTAATTGAACATACACTATATAGTTTTTCTGGGCAATAAGCTGTTACGCCGCAGTGAAAATGGTTGCCTTTCGATAGACCTGGACAGTGTACGGATTCATTGAGGGTAATGGTGATTGCATATTAATCAGGTGGAGGGTCTTTGAAAAGTTGCAGCTCACAGTGACTCAGTAAAGCACCTGGAATAAGTGACTCTATGTCTGCCCTGGTAAAGACAGGACATCCCTACCACTGAGAACTGGGTCAAGGCTGAAACACTCCATATTGTGTGACTTTTCCCAATTTCACTCACACAAAGGGGACCGTTGGGTGTCCTGGTGTGCGCCAGGCTTAAGGACTTTTTTAGCCAGAGACCCCAAAATAAGTGTGACATCAACTGGAGACCCCCACTGCTGGATCAAAGTTAAAGTGTCATTTTGTCATTTCAAAACATGTTAAATCTATGGTGTAGTTGTTGCTGATAAAGGAGGGTCTAAGGACAGTAATGATGATCCAATAATTATTGACATTCACAGTCATCCGCCCCTTATGGACAAACAGCTCTTGTGATTGGGCGGCACGGTGGCTGAGTGGGTAGCTCTCTCACTTCTCACCAAGAAGGACCTGGGTTCGAATCGCGGTCAGAACAGGGCCTTTCTGAGTGGAGTTTGCATGTTCTCCCTGTGTCTGCATAGGTTTCCTCCACTCCAGTTTCCCCTACCACTAAAAACATGTTCAATAGTTCAGGATGAATGAGTGTGTGTGGTTGTGAGTGTGAATGTGGGACAATGGACGCAAATTAGCCCAAGACTACAATCCGGAGTGATATGCTCATTAACATGTACTGTCCCAACCATATAAACAATTAATAAATATGAAGACATTGTTTTTATTGCATTTCCTGTGTTTGAACAGTTTGATTTTCTGGTCAGTTTTAGCGAATTGACAACTTTGTAAAGTCCTCCGAGGCGACTGATCATTGTCATTTAAATAAATTGAATTGTAGTTTAGTTGAGTCATTTATTGTGTTATTGCCCTAATTGTTTTCATATTTGAAGTTCAATCATTGGTGACGTATAATCAGAGCTGAAATTTTCACTTGAGTTGATCGAATTGTATAAACAGTTGCAAACATGATTCATTGTCTTGATAATTTTGATCATTGATATAATTACTTAAACCAATGTGAATTTGTACCGCACCAATTACAAAGGACTAATTCTGGTGCTTTTTCCACACGCAAAACATATTGGTCACTCTTCCTCAGTCATTAAGAAGTTGTACTGCAAAAACATGACGGCATTCGACGAAAATACTTCCCATCATAACTGTGTGGTTACACAGTCAGAACCATATAATTTTACGGTCATTATGAAGGACAGGGAGACCTGGACTTGTTGGGTTGACTAACAGAAAACATTTCTGGCCTTTATAGTAATAGTATATTAATTAAGTAAAAACAAATATGTTTTGAGAACGTAATGAGTAGATTTATGTTTTTACAAGGACATATTGTGATTTCACATTATAGGATTTAAAAAGTCTGTAAGTTCATTTGTATCTTTAAACCTGGACTTTAAATCCCATCAACTATTTCCTTCGCTGCACTGGAAGATGTTATATTGATTTTAAGGCCATTGATTTTGTTTTGTGTAGTGTAAGAAAAACTACTTTGGGGTTGCCTATTTTTAATTGGGTCAGGGCTATAGCACCTGTTGTTTTCCATCCGAGCACACATGGAGAAAAAAGTGATTTTTAAAGAAAGTTTCAATCGACAGTGTCTACTGTATTGTAGCATCCTTCTTTAAGCAGTTATAGTTTGAAACACTGTTGTTCTGCCTTGCCTCGTGTTGGATATGTTTAACACTGTAAACAGATGTTATTGCTATACAGGAATAAAAGTTTGTGCTTCCCAAAAGCCACAGTGGAACAGAAAGAACCCGAGTCAGCACTGTTCCTACCTGTGCCACACACACATTTCACAGAACGTACACACAAGTGCACAAAGGGACACATGGAGAGCGTGCCGAGAACACAGCCCCGGCACGGCGGCACAAACAAACACACTAAAAATACAAACTAGGCATATCCAAACACTCGCACTCCTTAATGAGCTAGCACTTTTAAGAACAGACTCCGCCACAACTCCCCATACCACTCACTGATACCTTGAGGAGAGGAGCCGCAATCGGAGGAGACGAGCCAGCAGAAGAAATGCGGCGCACTGGGATATGAAAGGAGGGAGAGAGCGAGCAGGAGATGATTGAGAGAGAAGAGAAGGTGAGAGGAAAGAGTGAGCGAAAACATCCAAAAACTGCTTGGAGAGAGGGAGGGAAGGAAGGATATAGAGAAGTCTTGCACCTCACTGTTCATATCTCTTAGGGAAGATCATAGGGGGATACGGAGGGGGGAGGAGAAGGGGGTCTGGGTGGGGGGTGGTGCATGGGGTGGGTGCTGTCGCTCTCGGCAAACAAGCAGGTGAGTAAATAGACTCTTGGGCGCATAGGCTGGGGAGGGGTGGGGGTGCAGGGGGTGAAGAGGGGATGCAGATGCCGATGCGCTGTGGGGGAATTCAGTGCATAGGCATCAATCATCTACACATTCAGGGTGCTAGCGACGTGTATGCTTGATAGATATGTTGTTAGAATTTTAAAAAAAGGAGAAAAATCTGCATTTCCATACATACTTAAAGATGGGGTACCTCACTTTCAGACAACAACATTTAAAATCCATAGTTCATAGTTCTAAGAAATAGTTTGGTTCTACCGCTGGTTTTCCCATACATGTTAGCTTCTGTCTTATCTTTAGATCTGCTTTTTCAGACAAAGAAGTGAAAAAGAGATAGCCATAATTGCTCGGTCAATAAGCTTCAAGCCCAAAGCGTCAATTATAGTGACTCACAGGGAGGATGCAAAATGTACTCTTCCTGTTGGGACAAACAAATATGAATAATTGTGAAAAAAATAGGTACCCTAGCTTTTATATTAAAATGAACGGATTGGAATGTGTTTAAATTTATAAAAAAGTAAACACCCTGGTTTTGAAAAAATAAAATACCACAACATTGTCGTAGATATTGTACAAAGATATGCACTTTGTTATTTCACAAACTGAGAGAGCATGAGACTATACAGAGATACAATTTAGCAGTGTATTTACCTTCAGCAGAGACCCGGAACATACATTATATAGTCATCTCTCCTATTTGATTGTTCATAATTGTCAATTCTGGATTTTTATAGGGATCTTGTAAAGTTTAAAGCTGGAGTACCTAACTTTGAAACTAAAATAGAGAATATTATATGGTTTCCAACAAAACAAAAACGGCATCATTTGATCACAAAATGTTACTTAAGGCTCTTTTAGTTGGAACAAACGTGTATGGTGTATGATCAAGTTAGATCCTACCTTTAATGTTCCAAGCCTAGAATATATTAGCTCAGAGTATTATTTAGCAATAATAAACAACATAAATCTGAAGAACAAAACAATAGCATTTGCACGTCAGATCAGAGTAATAAAAACTGTTCTTTGCACTGGTCATTTCTTCTGGCATACATCATTGAGGCCCATTTCCGACAGTCCTTAAATCCCTCTTGTGGTGCACTGTCTTCTTCAAACATCCGTAACAACCTCCTCCTTCGTGGCCGGCCCTGCAGGCCTTAAGCTCGCTCTCATCTGCCCATCCTTTCGCTTAAACCCCCACAACCAGCCGAAGAGCCTCCCCCTCCCCGTCTGCTCGCCTCCCTCTCCTCCCTGGATATCCCCCGGGTGTGTGCAGGGCTGTTCGACTGATGAGGGGGTAGGGATATCGCTGTCGGTGCTTTGATCTTGTGAAAGCTGATATCCAGAACAGAGCTGAGGATCCTGCCACCGGGCACCTTGGCATTTGAACGACATGTCTCTGTGTAAAGCCTGGGTGCAGAGGCCTTTCTCCTGTCGGCTTCCATGTGGGAATGCTCAGTCTAGACAGGTGCAGCGCTGCTCCTACCTGAGAACCTATGGGGATAACAGCAGGGATTCACTATGGCAGAGATCTAACCGGCGATTGATTTCATGATCGATTCATTGAGTCATTATTCTTTCGTTTAATGGATTAGTTGTTAGGGGAGAAAATCTGATATTTATCTAAATTTGACCCTGTTTAAGCTGAAGTGAAGCCACAAGATAATATTTTTTTTTAGATTTACATTTACAATACATAAAACAAAAAATTAACACAATTCCAAATATATATCTTTTTGTTCCTGTTTTCTCTGAGTTCGATAATCACATTTCACAAATGATGTGTTGGAATGTTCACACTGAACAGCTCACGATTTTTTGTATTTGTTATTTATGTAATTTAACCTACTTCATGACTCCCACTGATTGCTGTCATTGTGTCCTTGGGCAAGACACTTTACCCCACTTTGCCAAAAGCCCCCGCTGGAAGATCAAGGCTTCTTTGTACTTACCACCTGCAGGAGGATCAGTGAGGGGCTGGTGCTCTGTGTACTGGGTGCAGCTCCCCCCCCCTGTCCCAGAAATGGATTAAGGGGAAGAAGATGGATGAATGGATGGATGGATTTATTCATTTCAGGCATTTCACCTTGGGCACAAGTCACCTCTTGTCCATCATATTTCCAACAATAAATAAATAAAGTATTGCAAACATGCATAAGAGGGAAACAAATTAAATAAATAAACCAAAATGGAAGGGAGTAGGAAGAAGAAAACTTATTTAACCCTAACTCCATAATATATATTAAACAAAAATGTCTTCAACATTTTTCGACTAATTCCAAATAAAGTTCTGCACTATTGAGGTAATAACACTGGGTAACAAAAAATATTTTTTGAAAATAGTCCAGGGTTTTCCAGCTGAATTAGACTAATTATGATGCTCTGAATCCGAAAATGACCTTGGTTTTGCTCAATCAGGTCAGGATTTTTTGCTTCTGAAATATTTTTTTTAATAGATTTTGCGTAAAAAAACAAATTTCTGCCGATCATCAGCTGAGAAACCTTTGACGTTTTTTCCGTTTTCCTCAAGAAATAAAAGTCAACGTATCCAAAGTCATTCAGTTTTTATTTACTCCATCAAATTTGATAAGCAGAATTCATAATGACGTAGACGTACATAATCCGTAACACTATGGCTGTATCTCAAAAAGTTGACCTGATAGAGCAAAGTGCATGGGATATTCGGACTCAGAACACCAACATTAGTCTAAATCAGTTGAGAAACCCCTGACCATTTTTTGGCTGTCGACTTGTGTAATCAATAATGAAAATGATTGTCAATTATTGAGAAAACTAATCGATTAATTGTTGCAGTCCTACATTGATGTGATTTTCTCCCACTGGTGTCTGCTGTCGTTGTGTCCCTGGACAAGACACTTAATCCCACTTTGCCTGAAGTCCCTGCTGAAAGACCAAGAGCATCTCATCAATGACAGAGGAGCCATCTTCCTGTGGACCCACCACCCGCAGGAAGATCAGTGATGATTGCCACACCCCCCCTGCCAACCCAAAAATTGAATAATAAAGGGGTAAAAAATGACATGACATGACTATTAAAACCATGTGACATTTACAATCAGTAGTGCAGTATGCAATCTATTCTGTGAAATGTTGTGTAATTAATTCTATATCCACACTATACAACTCAGATATTTCCAATACGACAAGGAAGTAAAAAAAGCTGTTAAAAACTACACATACATCAGGCAGAGCTTGTTTTTCGGTAAGTCACTATGTCACTTTTCCAGGCCTTTTCCTAAAGCTTTAATTTCACACCATGGGAAGAAATCATGGATAAATTCACATTAGTGTACATAAAAGTCTGTTTTCAGGGTCAATTTACATTTTAAATGCTAATCACTGAACTTTGATATGCAAAAACGCAATATTGCAGAAACATTCCATCAGCTGAATCCTTTGCCAAAAAATAACCATGGAAAATACACAAATGTTAGTCTTTGTCTCTTATTGTCTCTTATTTACTTAACATTAATAAAGGTATAGGGAAAATATATGAATATACATAGACAAATGACACCATCGTCTTAGCTAAAACAAACTCTGTGGAATGACTCACGATAATTAGAAAGTAGGAGTGTAACGTTCATCTTTCGATAGACTGCTATAAGTCTCTTTGGTTACATCAAAGCAATTGTGAAGAAAATAAACAATTAGCAATGGACTGGGAATATGTTCATAAATAATGGATTCCTTTTTTCTCTTAGAAATCACTTGTGCAATGAGTAACCTTATATAGATCTGAAAGTCCCATGCTGTGAACTGACACACAAGACATTAGCCTTTCCCCTAAAGGCCACCCAGAGTATAAAGAATAAAGGAGCACTAGTGGCACGTGTGGAGGCAAACAACTGCTGAAAGTTGTCCACACAAGTTCACAGCTAACGCGTTGTGGAATAACTGAGAACAAACACACAATTAACCAGAAAAAGCCAGGGCTCAGTAAATGAGGGTGCTAATTCTATATAATGGTGAGAGGAAACTTTGAAAAGTCCATTGTATCCAAAACTCACTTTTCTTAACTGGTTTGAGCATAAATACACTTGTGCAAATGTGTATAAAAGTGTATTGCAATTGTAAAATATTTGTGGGTTTGTAACTGGATGGGACGACATTTATTAATAGCACATTTCAAATAATTTGATCAAAGTTCTTAACATAAAAGCAACATTCAAGACAATTGATGATAAAGAAAAGTACAACTAATATCAAGATTTACCTGTGTGAAATGACAAGAACAAGAGTTTTTCAGCAATGACCCCAGAGAGAGTACAAACCATCATTGGTAGCCTGTCCAGCTGTTCAGGCTAGATCATAGGCACAATATAAAATATTTAACAATAACAACAATATAAAAGGAAAACAGATTATAAACTTTGCTTATAGATACATACAATACAATTACAATACAATTTATTCTTGTACAGCCCTAAATCACAACAGAAGTCATCTCAGAGGACTTCACAAAAGCATTGAAATCACCAACACAAATCAGAGAATCAACAGTTAAAACACATAAAGAATATAGATAACATGTTAAAAAAAAAAAAGAAAAAATGTCCATACATGTTGTAGAATGTTAATGTGTCCTGGATCATCACCATTTTTAGGTGGACACTAATTGTCCAACAGACCCTCCTGCATCTAACGTATCAAACCCTGTTTTGTGTCATCATTGAATTTTGGAGGGGAATGCACCAAATTGCCCCAAAAGTGTAGCTGTCTGATGGTAAACTCTGTTACTAATCCAGGGAGGGTTTAGGTCAGTCTTTAGCACAGGAGCAGATTCCCCAGTTTGTATACACAAGTATGGTGTACAGCATAATGTTCAGGTTGTATGACGTAAAGCTGTCATTCAGAAGAACTATATAATCAATTATTATAAACCATGCAGCAACCAAGCCTTCAGAAGTCCCAAGGAGACAGTAATCTAAATCCCCAGAGGCGGACTAACAAGCCAACAAGCTACAGAATAACATGTCTGCAAATGATCTCTGTATGGAGGTCAGAGTATCTGTTTGCCTGTGCTGAAGGATTTTATCTCCATTTTTTATGCACTCTGGTTATTTAT